ACTGATAATGCAGGGCAGTACGATGTGTCATGCTCTGGCCCTAGGTAAAGGGAACAAATGCAGAATGTACCCTTGCCATCGCAGTAACTTGGTTGTGCAATGCTGATCGCTCATAGAGCATGATGAATAGTGGCTCATCGAAGCAACAGGCTCCACACCTTCCGTCAAATTCTGACATTCACTCACTTTGAAGAGTATTTGCAGTACAATTCTCATAAGACCTTCTGCAATCTTAAAAGCCCCGCGACAGAAAGGCTTAAGCCATATACCTTCGCAAAAAAGCGTTGAGTCGCAAGTGACTTACCAGTGGAACCCCCCTTCCCACGTCCACGCCCACCCCCACGAACGCCGGCACTGCCACCACCACGCCTCGACGGCTGAGCTGAAATGGGAATATTGAGTGCAGTGTTGCCATTCTCCGGGTCCGCTGTTTCACTAAGTCGCTTGAGTAACGGCTGAAGAGCACGCCCACCAAACTGATCGTCCTCGTCATTCAGATCCTCCAGGAAGTCATCTACAAGGGGAATAAGTGAAAGTGAATTTAATCTCACGAAAACATGAAGAATAAGTACCATCTGCTGTCTTCCCGCCAACAGCTGCTGCCACCTTCCTTTTGGCTTCACGGCAGAGCTGAGCTTCGGCTTTTTTTGTTAACTCAGGATCAACGACAGGCTCGACACGACGACCCAGGGGATCGGGACGGGTCTGACGCATGCCCTTGGTCAGGGCTGCAGCCGCGCTTTTGGCCGCTGCATTACGACTGCCTTTCAATTGCGATGTCGTCTGTTTGGCCACCTTTTTCTCGGCAGCATTGATAAGGTCCTCCAAATCCTTCAAACGTTCAGCCTCATATTTCTGCGAAGGGAACAATCAAAATTCGGTGACTTCAGGATTGTCTTTTACCTTTCCTCAAAAAGAATACAAGTAGTGAAACGCTTTGGTGTAGCATGAAGATCACGAGGCAATTTGAAACCAATAGGGACTCGGCGCTACATGACGACTTCTCGCATGCAACCAACCGTAGTTGGGTTCAAATTTGACCTGAGTAGAGAAGATCCGGCAAAACCAAACGAAGAACATTCAGCAATGTTAGGAAGTAGGATTCGTCAAATCCACAACAGTTAATTATGGAATTAGGAAGCTTGTTTCATGGAAAACCTTGGATGAAGTGTAGAAGTGTGCGAAGACAATTACCACAATAAATAAATAGACTCCCCGTCATCATCAGCAATACTTAACCTGCTTTACACAAGGCAGAAGCCTTCGTTTACTAATTGACCGATTTCATATTTCCGTAAAAGTTCAAAAATTTCCTCACACTACGTCTACCGTTTGGTTAGTTTTGGGTGATAAGTGAAGGGATTAGATGGTGCATCACGTCAGTAATGTACCTGTAATTCCCTTGGACAAATAAAAAATTGCAGAACAACCTTCATGCATCACATTTGTGCAAAAACCTTTTTATATACAGACAGAAAAATTTAACAATCGTGTAGTGAAGGAACGAGAAGAGGTGGCTTTTGATGTAACAAATGTCCTTTCACAACAAACATGGTTGACCTCGCCTAAACGCAACTTCAATTCGGTTTCAAGAGCCTTATCAACACAAAGCCTCTTCAAACGAGTCGGCGGAGCCAGTGCGGAAACGCGAACCGTCAAAAGCAAACCTGTTAAGCCCAATAGCATTTCAAACTAGCGCGTAAGAAAATGACATTTATGCAAATACAACTTATGTTTTAGAGTATAGATGACGTAGCTGTGGATTACTTTTTTGAAAAGAAAGGGAGGAGTGGTCTGTGACTATGGCCGACGTCAGAAACTGTGCAAACTTTCGAAATAAAGCCAAAAAATGTTTGAAGCAGGAACACTTAATGCCATGGTCAGCTAAATGGTAAATTTGAAGCATTAAATAAACCAATCGGTCGCAAGGGAAAAGCGGCCAAAAGAGATCCCGAGACACGTTTCTCTACATCGTGAATCCAGAGGTGGAATACAATGGATGAAAGTTTTTGCGAACACGACGAAAAAATTTCCTGTCAAATTTTTTCTTTGCTAACAGAAGCAGTTGATGTTCGAGTGTCATTGCGATATCCCAGTCACGCAAAAAATTCTGAGCCTCAGGGTTTGAGCAAATGGAAGGAGGACCAGAGAAACGATTATACCTAAGCCTGCACAGTGCGGCATTTGACGTGAAACGAACGTAGTCGAAAAAATCAGACGCCGAAAATAATCTACAAGATGTAAAAGACAGATTAACTTATTTCAAAAGTCAGAAGACTCACTCTGATTGCAGCCTCCAGTTCATCTAAATCTTCTCGCCACAGGTCCTTGTTTGTCTTCCGCATCAGAGTGGCCAACTCTGCCTGCTTTTTATCCCTCTGCGCCAACAAGTCCTCCTTTCGCTCCTTCGACAAGCTCCATAGGGGCATTCCGAGGATGTAGTTGTAGTCGGCGGCCCCGCGGGCTATGTCTTCGTCTACTTCAGCATCACCATTGCCGTCACTACCATCTGCTTCATCTACTGGTTCACCCGCTTGCCTGCGCGCCGCAGCAGCTTCCTCAATAGCGGCCAGTTTGTCGATACATTCCTTCCAGGTCCTCACAGGGTCGGGATCGTAGTGACGACTGCGAAGCAAGCGTACCAGATCCCGCTTCGAGCGGTTCTCAATGGTGATAGTGCCGCCGATCTTCTCCATAACGAAGCGCGCCTGATTCTCCAGACGTCGCGCCTCTGCTGATAGCATACCCTCCATAAAGGCCTTGCGCTTGTCATACCTGCAAGTTGTGATAGTGGTGGTTTTATGTGACAAGATAGAATGAGGCTACCCTATGGAGTCAATGGTCCTTGGTAGATTACTACTGAGCTTATGCGTTAGCTGAAGAGCTAGGGTTAGCATTGACAATACCCTACAAAACTTAATAGGGTAATACTTTTGATGATGGCGGTGTTAGCAAGAAATGCTAATGGTGGGATTCATGGAAGAACACATAGAAACAAAACCTTGCTGCAAGTCTACTGGGAGGCGATCACTTAATAGCATTTGCAGTCGCAAATTTTGATTGTCACATATTTCTCCCCAAATAAAACGGCTCTAGAGTCGGGGTTGGTGAGGAAAGCACGAAACCTGCTGATATCGCCTGTCTCACATCGATTATGCGAACACACAAAATCATTGCAATGTGAATCGACATAACAGATTTGCAATGATGAAGAGATGGGGCGTGAAGTTTGAAAATCAAATCAAATCGAATGCGATTTGGTAGAGCGAGATAAGATAAACCGATGTCCAGAGGTAGAAGTTGAAGAACAGATTTGTGGTGATGCAATGATGAGTATCTTAAATCGCATCTCCAACAGCATGAAATTAGCCCCAACGCTGCTTGCAGATTCGTTTAAAGAACGCAATGGGGTCGTTTGGTGGGAAAAACCCGGATAAGGGGAAATAACCCACAAAAGTCAAGCTTGTTTTACAAAATGTAGAATAAAAATGATCAGGTGAGAAACGCCATGAAAAACTAACATTTCGCTGACATAATCAGACGTATAAACGCTGCTTGAAAGGGTGGCGTTTAGATAGAAAAGAGACTTTACGTGAGGATGAGTGTCAGGGATGATCGCAATAAAGTTATGCAAGTCAGCGAGAAAATGAATCACAAAGCCATTTAGTGAGCGGATTCAGCTCAGGCTTAGGAACGTTGTGCATATGGATGTGAAAATAATTGCCAGATGATAAGACAGCATTTTGTACGGATTAGAATAATTGAGAAGCACCAAAAGCTGAGGTTGGTAGTGGTAAGAAAAAGCAAAATTATACATAAACAAACTCCTTGGAATAAATCTGTTTCAACTCGCCGCTGAGTCAACATCCTTTATCTGATCAACAACTGCCACACAACTCCATTAATTTAATGATGATTTTATTTAATATGGCGAAGGGGTGGGTAAATTCGAGGCAGGAAATACGATTTCCTCGATGAAAATTCACGATGTACTAGCGCAGGTACCCGTTGGTGTGAAAGCAGCTTCATCACGAAAAAGACTACGTCAGAGCTCAACCAAATAACTGCGGTCAGTTCAGCAAACAGATTGCAACCAGCGTGTAATGCTTTGTCGCTTCAATACACAAATTACTGCCAAGGGCAAATTTCCAAAATGCTGAACCACAAAATTATGGTGTCAGCGCAACTGACAGTTTTGCCAGGTCAGTCGCAAATCCAATGAAGCAACCTAAAGCTGAGATCAGCATTCTGAGTTTGCGTGAAGACGCTCCGTATGCGCAGGTCAGCCAAAGTGACTGTCCTCACTTACGGTCCATTGGAGGCGCGATCAACCAGGAAGCGGCTGCTCGTGATCTTCCTAGAGGAAGGTTCCAATGCTAGAGCACAATCAAGCTTTCGACATCGCTCCATTGACATCAAATTTCGGTAAGACTGAGAGAATAAGCACAAAACACAGCTTCAATGAAACCAGTTTGGACAAATATAAAGTAGAAGTGTTTTCATGCAAATCGAACTGACAATCTCCCATAATGAGAGCTAACTTATTCAAGAGCAAAAAAAGCATTGTTACCACTGGACGCAATGTACCAGTTAGCTTGAGTCACGACCTATTTTCCAATCTTATATCTATTGGACAGTTCGCGAAGTTAGGTGTCTGCGATTGGTGACCAGGATGAGGATAAATACTGTCGGAAAGAATTCCAAAGGTAGAAACACAAATTCCGTAAACATGATTATAAATGAAGCGAGAATAGGAAGCAGGCTTACCATTCCAACCGGAGGGCATAAAAACTACGAAGGATCTCTTGCGCCGATGTATAGCGTTTCAGGCATCCGGCGTGGTCAAAGAGCACCATGGAATTGGTTGTCATGGGAACCGCCAATTTGAAGAACTTGTGTAGACCCATGCTCTCGGCCTCACGCAGCTTCTCGCGTGTCATTTGTACCACAAAACGTACCGTCACGTCGGTGTGATACTCTTTGTAATCGCTACCGATGGAGAAGATAAAAGAAGCAAATTCATTCTGTAACTTGATTTCCCATATATGGCAAATAAATAGGATAAACCGCTGAGACATTGCCAATTACAGATTCACGAAGGTCTTGCATGAGACTGCTTACAGTGAGCATCTGTCTTCTATAGCTCGTTAGAGGTAAGAATTAAGATGTTGTGGAAGGCGAAAGAGGAGTCAGTGAATGCACGACCCAAAAGTACGTTCAGATAACCATACAAGTTTCATTGGTTTGAAGTAAACTACAAATGATCGATCAAGAACTCAAATTGCAAACATGAAATCCCACAGATTAAGGGGAGAGGGTTAGACATGATTAAGAACAAAACGTTCCTCAACTCGCCGTGGCAATAAAAAGTGCTAAAAAACTGCTCGACGGGACACGAAAATAAATCTGCCATAAACGTAAAATTGCCAAACATGCCTGATGCTAACCGGCACCTTCTCAGTCCCATTAAGCATAGGTTCCAGCACTGTCTCCTTGTAACACTGTGTCCAAGTCTTAGCCGGCAACTCCGTAATCTCCACCGTTTGATCATCAAGGACTGCAATCTCTCCAAAGAGCACATATCGATTTTCTCCTACCTCCACAATTTTTCCTCGATAACCCCGATAGCTCGGCAGCATTGGCAGCGGATCCACCCCATCCAGCATTCGCCGGAGGTTGGCGATCACCTCGTTGGTGTCGTAATTGGGTATCTTAGTGCTCCAACCCGTGCCAATACCCTCAGCTCCATTGATGAGGACCATGGGAATGACTGGCATATACCACGCAGGCTCGATCTTCTGATTGTCCTCAAATAGGTAGTTCAAAATAGCGTCATCGTTCTCGTGAAAGATCTTGCGGGCTAGAGGACTGAGAGCTGTGAAGATATAACGGGCAGAAGCGGAGTCCTTGCCACCGGCGAGACGCGTACCAAACTGGCCGTAGGGCATCAAAAGGTTGAGATTGTTGGAACCTACAAAGTCTTGGGCTAGACCAATGATGGTGCCCATGAGAGAAACCTCGCCATGGTGGTAGGATGACATCTCTGCCACGGCACCACACAGCTGAGCCACCTTGATCTCCTTTACTTGGTTGCGCTTCAGACAGGTAAACATGACCTGAAAACGCAAGTAAGGATTCGTAAAGGGGACCACTCTCGCTGTAGTCAAGCCCATGATCCACACACTACATTTTTAATGGCTCAACTAGCCATAATTCCAGCCGAAGTAATTAAAGAACAAAATATCCAGCAAAAGATTGTTCTGTTAGAGCTGTGCTCAGGGGTGTAGACTTACTCTCCGGAATTGCATTCCCGTAGGCAAGTCTGCAGGATCTGTGAATACACGTAATTCCACCAGACATTTTTTGGCATTGACTGCATCTCGTTATCCCTATCATTTTGACTCACGTTTACCAGTCAGTTATAAAAAACAAAGGTTACCTAATACTTTTATCAAAAATTCACCATTTTACGATACATTCCATGAGCGACGTTGAGTGGATCGTAGACCTTTTGCTGAGGCAATAATGCTGACTTTATTCAGCATTAAATCTTAATTTTTGTCTTGCCGAGGCAAAATAATTTCACACACCTGATAATCATACGCTCTACTGCTTGCTGACTTGCATTCCTTATCGAACAAGCACTAAAAATGTGGCCGTGCCAAATCAGTCGACGGCACAGATTTGTACTTAAAAAACGCCTCAAATACTAGAGCGATGGGGTCTGACTATTTCTACGCCATGCGGACAGTATAATATCGTACCTGCTACCACCGTCAATCCGCAAATGCCCTTCCTTTTGGTCCAAACTAGCCACCAGAACCTAAAATTGCCTTTCTTGAGCAAGTTCATGCAACAACAGGGAGCATCTTATTTTTCTTGATTCTGAAAACCTAGAAAAGCAATCCCAAGTTCCTAATTGTTTCCTTTGAGAGCGTCTCATTGAACCGTATAAAGTGGACTCGATTTAAACGTCAATAAGTTCAAGTCTCCCATTCTTGCACCGCTCTAATGAAAGTATTCCAATGGGAAACAATGCTATTTCACAATATTCTCGCTTAGCCGCTTGTCTCAGAAAAGACACTTTGGCTGATTTAATCACAAAACTCTGAGGTCATGACTGCTATCTCCTAACCCTCTAGATAAATCAACTCTGTAACAGAATGTCAAAGAATGGGAATGTACACTTCCATACCTTTTCCTTCATTCAGATTCATGGATTGAAGACGAACGAGAAGTTAAGACTGCTTAAGAAGCGAGTTCTAGATTCACATAAACCAAGATTTCAATTTGAAATACTGAGAAACAGGAGAATTCGGAACATTTGGTTTCAGCTAATAGATAACTATTAAAAGGGAAACTAGTTTTGATTCAATGATCTGGTGGATGATTGGACCGAAGGTCAGAAAGTAAAATGCACTGAGAGATACCCGTCTCTAGAGAACCCAAATTTGAGATTTCAACCTGCAGCACAATCCTAGCGAAGTAAATCCCAATTTCTGTCCACTAACAAGTGGACAGAATGACTATGGTACCCACAATAGCTCTGATATCTCCAGTTTCAATTACAACTGGAAGTATTACGTCTCTGCATCCAGCACTAATTTTAAAGCCATTAATTCCAAAAAGAAGTTACTTTGGAAAAGACTCTCGATAAGAAAGAGGATAATGGTGACAACGCGTCTGAAACCCAGACTAATACAAAGTAATTTTTGCGTTCTCTCCTAAGCCCTCATTTGGATTGTATAACTGCCAGGAGTTGGTAAAACTTTTGACAGTATGATCGGCCCCAGATTTGAGTGCCGGAAGACTTGAAGTTCCGTCTTACTGAGCAATGGGGAAAAACTCCCCCGACCCCAGGCGTATTGATTACCAAAATCTGGATATATTGCAAGGAGTGGCTGTCGGAAGCAGATACAAAGTTGGGTTCACTGCGACAAATGGGAGA